TTGCACTATGGTGGTGATTTATTTTTTTCCGATTTGACAACGAGAATAAGTTAAAATCCATGGGTCTGTCTTAATTGATTTGCCATATTGCTAAGCATACCCGTAGCATTAAGCCATTTAAACTCAAGCTTAAATGGCATCGCCCCGTTCCTTCCCCTTCCACTAGGAAACATCGCTGAAAAGTATAGTATATTGACTACTGTAAAACTGCCAAGTCTGCCCTTGTACTATACTTTTGCTCCTTTCCATCCTTCCTGGTTKGCAGAATACTCCAGTTGCATCACACTGTTACTCTTACTTTTTCCACCTTCCACCCCTTTCAATCCCTCACGGACTTCCATTAGCTCCCTGCCATCCATTCCGGTTTAGATTTGCTTTCTGCTTTATGAAAGTCTTCTTAACTTTGAACTCATCTTATGAAGTTGTGTTGTCAATGAAATTTCAAGTCCCCAGTATCTCTAGCTGTGATTGTTGACAGTGTGTCATGATCATTTCAAGGGGTATTCACGCACTCTTTACTCTGGATCTTGCAAAAATGGATACAGTTATGATTTCCCATGGAAATTGAAATCTATTTAAGTAATTTAACTATATTAAACACTGTTTCACTGGTAGAGTGTCTCTGTTTTATTTAAGATGCATCTGGCTAGTGAAGATGAGATGTGCCTTGTGTATTGGATACTGATTTGTATACAGAAACATACAACTCCTGCCTAGGGAATGACCCTCTGCACGACACTGCTAGTGAGCACAGTGCAATTCCAGGCCCTCCAGTTCTGCTGTGTGTGATGAACAGCCTAGTTCTCAGCCGTGCATGTCCTCTGTGTCCCCACTTACCTTGGAAGGTTCATCTGGGGACAGCTGACACATTCTGGGTGCTGAACTATGTTTAAGTGCATGGTGGTGACAGCTGCTAGCTTAAAAAAAACAAGTCATTTATGAGCTCTATTTTTAAAAAATTACAGAAAAATAACTGCCCGGATGCTTGGACACCGAGAGAACTGAGCAGAGTGGGTGCACGAAGGTGCTTTTAGGCTTGAGGCTCTGAGAACAACTGGGAAGAGGTAGCAGGCCTGGCCAGCACAACATTTACAATCTCTGTATGTGAAAGATGCTTCTCATTTCCTCACTGCAAACACAACACTGCAGCTTACTGTTAACTGGCGTAGTCACATGTAGCTGAGAAACAAAAGCTGCATCTTTAAACTGAGCTTTTCTGGTCAGGAGCCTGTACAGGCACTTAAGAATGCAATGGCTTAAAGGTGCCAGTTAAAGTTAAAAAAAGAAAAAAAAAAAAAAAGGCAGCAGCAATGAAGTACTTCTTAAAATGGAGCTTTGTTTTGTCTTGTAATAGTCCTTAAGGAACACTGAAGGACTGATGACCACATCACGTGCTCTCCAGTATGAGCATACAAACAGCAGCTCAGGGCAGTATCTAATACAGGCTATTTTTTGAACCTTCCAAAGAGGAACRCCAGCCTCCAAATGTGCTTTTTAATTAAAAGTCCATGGGAGCCCGGCTGGAGGCAGCGAGAGCCCCGCGTGCRGACGCGCGCCGGGGAGCTCCGCTTGGACACGACCGGCGGCTGCGACACCCATTGCCACCTCCTGGGGACAGACCGGCCGGGCTGGGCTCGGAGGCTGCCGGTCACGCAGGCAGAGAGTGTGGGACCAAAGCCCAGCGCCTGCAGGGGCAGAGCACAACCTGACCACAACCTGACCACAACCTCCAGCTACAGTCACTGCTCAGGCTCCAATGCCAGTTACAGACCCTGAGAAATGACCCCAGGGCCTGGTCAGCAGCCCCCTTCCCTCCGCACAGCCACAGAACAAGCCCTCACTGCACACACTGCTGCTCGCGCCAGGCACTGCTTGGAAAGCTCTGCTGAGGAATCAGCGCTGTGAGACGAGGCTTCCTCATGGCAAAAAGCCTCTATCCGCCCCGCTGCTTTTGGTGTTACTGCGTGCAGCCCTCGAGCCCAGCTCCTGCGGCACATGAAAGTGTGCCCGGGTTCTGCGGGATCCAAGGCCCCAGCTATGCGGGAAGGCAGGCACAGCCTCAGGAGATGCTCGGGCACTAGCACTGCCCTCTGCCTCCTCCCAACACCTTCCTCCCCTGCAGGAATGAGGGCCTTCTGGGGAAGGTTCCTCCTCGTGCTCTTTCAAAGCCTCAGGAGGGGCCCTGGCTCTCAGTGTTTTACTGGGTGGCAGGTGGATTTTAGGCATACAAGCAACTTAGAGTTACTTCGTCAGTACTTTGGAGGGAGAGCAGAGGAGAATGGGATCCACCAAGGCTACACCACGGCTAGGAAAGTGGTCACCTTAAGCTGCCTGAAAAACCACAAAGATAGTCCCTGCGCCCTGGGAAGGGCAGGGAGACAGGAGCTGCTTCTTGCTCTGGAATTGTGTTTCACACTCAGGGCCGGCACCAGGCCTCCCCCAGCTATGCAAGTGTGGTAGCTCCTGGCCTAGGATGTCCTCTTCTCCCGGTTTTTCGTCGGCAGCTCCAATACGAGGGATGGAGCCTGCATCCCCCTTGCCAKCTGCTTTCAAGCTTTGCCTGCTGTTGGTAACTAGGGCACGTTCTTAAGCTCTGCTCAATGCAGGTTAGTGGGCTAATCCTTCTGTGCCACTTACATGATTCCCGYGCCAGCAGAGCCAGATGCTCCGGTCAGAGCTTTGCATTCCGGAATCAGACATCCATGAGTGCCTATCCCTCCACTGCTGATGGTTACCTTCAACTTCCTAAACGTGCACTTGGATCTTCATCGGGATGCTCTGCCTTGGGGGAAGACGGAATAGTTACCCCTGGTCACAAAACCTCCATAAATGCTGCAAGGGTTCAGAATGCCTTTTGGACAGCTCTGTGTACAGCCACGTCAGCAAACAGATGGTCTTATCAACCCATAAAAATGCTCTGTAAAGTTAGCTTAAAAATAAGAAAATAAAGAATTTGATCAGTAACWGATAAACTATACTTTTGCTGGGTGGTCAGTAGCCTTACCAGTAAATGCTACCTGGAGTATGTGGCAAGTGGAACTGCCCACATGGAGATGCTCCAGGCTCTCCCAGTGCCCCAGTGCCCAGCTGGGCTCRTGCCTGCCCAGGTGCACAGCTCCCTGCAGCAGCATCCTGGCCAGTTGCTCCCATCAGGAAAAAAAACATCCTTCTGTAATACATCCCTTTATATTAGCAGCATCCTGAAACTCTGGCAACACATCTACCTAGAATACCGCTTATTCCCACCAAAAGCTAATTCAAAAAAATGCATATGGTCAGAGTCTGCAAGCATTAATGGACTTCCACTTTCAATACAAAGTGTGAAAGCAAAAACCATAAYCAGAAACAGCACCAGCAGTGGAAAAGAGCAATGAAAGGCAGAAGCCTGGAAGGTAATACCCCTAACCAGATGTTCCTCATAGCTTTGATAAAACAGACTATCAATGTATTAAGGAAACCATAGTAAAGGTGGAATAGTCACAACGTCTGCAAAGCAAACTTCACTTTTCAGCACCTTGTAGTTCTGCACCAGCTTTGATTACGCTAAACATCAAATCATTGCAGGCAGCAAACACAGCAAGTCTGCCCCTTTCCCACTTCCTGGCTCACCGAGAGCTGCGCTCCGGAACACACACACACCCTTCAGAGTAGGAAAAAGGGATTGAACCGTTTTCCAGTGCCTGAAAGGTTATTTCCTAGCAAAATCCAACCGTTCGCAAATGAAATGTATCTTATCCCAGATTTTAGCCTGGATATTCAAACAACACAACAAACTCCTGTCAAAAAGCTCAGACATTAAAAAAGACTACAAGGAATCCACAAATTAGCTGTCCAGACACCAAAATCGGGGGCTTTTGGGCTAACGAAACCTCAGGATCATGAACCTTCTGAAAGTCAGTCAAATGGCTGGCACTCCCAAACTGAAAGTGCATGAAAACAGTCATACTTTCTTCAAAGAAAGATGTATTATTTTGGATGTATTCCTAAATATTGGACACATTTCAAAGGCTTACTTGGTAAACCCAGCATTAAGTGGGTTCTCCTTCAGTTCAATCCTATGGAAAACAGTAAGCCACTAAGAATGGCCTTGTCAGATGTAAACTAAAATAAAGCACTTTGATGGTGGCTCGAGATCTGTGTGAGTATCTGATTTACTCAAGCACCTGGTGCAATCAGCACAGGGGCACCTGCTGTTTCACTGGGCACTGGCGTTGTGCGAGTGGCTGAAATCCTGGGCATTTGCTGCAAATTTGCACCTCCATCCCAGCCACGAGCACTGTGTGTTCCTCACCTTCCAAAACCATGCCACTAAGCTCAGGTATTACGTTCATGCTGAAGTAATATACACAAAAGCCATTTATAGCACACAGTACTATGAGGTGATGAACAAGAGTCAGGTTTGAAGACTAGACACAATTTTCCATTGTGAACTGGGATTTTTATCACTGCTGTAAACAAGGAAACAAAAAAAATACTGTCCGCTACTGCGCCGACAGTCGTATTTGTTCATTACATCTGYTAATCAGCAGTTAGTTAAATACCAATGTAACTGCAACAGAATAATGGCTCCAGATGTTACAGAAAAGGAAATTTTCATTCCTTAAAGATGCATCTYTAGAAAGAGCAGGAAGCCTCGGAGAAAACAATCATCTGCAGACATACAAACCCAAAAAAGGATGCAATGGGAAAGTTTTCATGCACACAGCAGCACAAGTCTAGAAGTATGCTGGAAAACCCTAATAGCTTCCCTGCCTATCAACCGTGGGGAAGTAAAAAGGCAGAAGGACTCTGAGAGATTTTATAAGCAAGATAAAAATCTGTTTTTATATTTAAAGATGATATTTTTCAATCTTTAACTTAAAAAGGCAAAGAATTGCTAATTATGTTTTCAGGTGTCCAGAGCTCTGCTCTTGTGCAGTGTTGAGAATATTCATAGTTAAACACTCCCCTCCTTCTCCTGCATATCCGTGCGATCCGCACCCAGCAGCCGGGCCCGTTCCTGAAGGCACTGCTCTACTTTCCTGGCAGGAAAGAGCCTTATTAGCACAACACAGCCCCTGCAACACCCAGCRTGGATGCTGCTGCACACCAGGGTACCTGCATGGTGCCAAGCACACATACTAGTCCGAGAAACAGACATTCTGATAATGATTATGATAATATATATACAGCTGTACTGGCAGACGTTATAAATAGCATAATAAATACTGCTCGCTTAGGACTGCAATTTCATTCTCTAATTCCTCTTGACCTCAAGGTACCTAGATTTTCTTGCCAACATATCCTTTAAAAAGAAAAAAAAAGTATCCAACTCCTTTACCATCATCTGACCTTAAATAACTTGCTTGACGGAAGTGGCCTCAGGAATCCACCAGCAGCAATGCCTGGTGGCACCGCCAAACCCTGCCAGTCCRGATCCAACACCACAAGTGCCACTGCAACCTCTCGGCCATTAAAACTTTTCTGGCACTTCAGCAAACTCTTCCCTTACTCCACATATAAAAACCCATCTATACCTGCCTATTTGTACATTATGAAGCATCAACAAATAACTGAAGGAAAACTTTAAAAAGAAAATCTCAATGATGTGACAGTCCTGTGTGGCTGCAATTCTCYTTTCTAAGTGTTTGTTGCTTACTGGTTAATTCACAAACTTCTGCCAATATGTAACTGTTCTCTCAGACACAAGCGCAGATCAGGGAAGTGCTATTCCGGCACAATAAAACAAAACCAAAGAAACAAAATTCCTGTGCTTTTCTTGTTCAAGCTAATTAGCCTGATTTATTATTTGTCATCAGTTGCTTATATAGGGTTTCAGCTAATTATTTATCCTTTTCAAAAATAATAAAAAGAAAAGCCAAGAAATGGAAGTCACTCCATTGACTCACCAGCCCGTTTCCTTCCAAGTTTTGCAGAGTTCACACAGAGGACGAGTGCAAACACAGGGGGTTAAACGGCTGATTTTGTTGGATACTTACTGAAAACGGACCACGGCCACGGAGATGACTTTCAAAAGATACACAGAAGCAAATTAAACAAATGCAAAAAAATGTGCAGGTATTTACAGCACTAGGCAGAGGACCACTAGTGCCAAAGAGCTGATCCCTAGAAACTGTGGAGTTTCCAGGTTACATTTTTGAATTTAGAAACCTTTCATGCCCAGTCAATGTGAAAATGTTCCAAAATGCAGCATCTTACACATTTCAGCTACAGATTTCTAATAGGCAATAGCTTTTTGTTTTGTTTAGCCTACTCCCCTACTGCCTTACAAAGGCAAAATTTATTTTGGAAGAGCTTGCATGATATGCAGGACATATACTCTTAATAYATCCCTTCCATTTAGACCCTTTTCAATAAAGCTTTTTCATGCCACTAGTCAAATTCTCCAAACCTGGTGCCTCCAGTACCGTTCACTGGATGAATATGACCCATTTTCCTCCCTGTATTCTTTTGTGTCCTCAGTTCTCCTTTATAAAGACGTTTAACCATCATGTGAAAAACGTCCACAGGCATCTTACACTGCTTTATAAAACAAAACGAAACAAAACCCACAAAGAACAAAACAAATAAAAAGTCCCATCCGGGCAGCTTCTTCTTTTAGAGAACAGCTTTACATTCCTGAGTGAATAACTGTTGGAACAAGGTTGCCTTGAAACGTTCCAGGACTTGTCAGACGTTGTAATCTGGGGACTTGCCCTGTGGTTGTCTCAGCCGTATCTGTAACGTAGAAAAAGCTCCCACAGTCACGTGGAAGAAGAGCTGCCACAGATTGCGCAGTTCGTACAGATACATGTTGCACAGGCAAATGAGCCCAAAAGTCAGGAAGGATTTGACATTCCTCCAACCTGTGTAGTACACAAACAGGTAACACTGTTGGGGAAAAAAAAAAAGAAAAGAAATAACATTAGCACATGGAAAATAACTTCTGGTTATTTCAATAACTAGCCTGGTCATTAAGAAATTACAAAATTAAAAGTAGARCTTTTTAAATTTCAGTGTGGCAATATGCAGTTACAGTTTTGTAAGCAAAGTAGGCCATAAAACAGCAAGGTTTAAAAGTTTACCTGGAATTATATATTTATGTAAGAATAGTACCAATCTACACTCAATCAGSCAAAGTAAGAGGTACTCAACATCAATAAAAGGTTACATTTGGCTGCCATTAAACTCTCTTGGAGGGCAAATCTCTCATAATAATTGATAAAACCTACAGTAATGAGAGTGACCCATGACAAAGGGGAGCGGATGCTCCTCGCAGGCTCCAGGCTGAAACCCAGGCCCTGCTCCAGGCAGGCAAGGGGGAAGGCAGAGGAGGCGGCTCCGGGGCTCCTCCGGAGGAAGGCAGGCAGGGAGCAGGAGGAGAGCAGCGCCAGGTCGGGAATGGGAACGTTTAAGGGTCCTTTTTGCCCAGAATCCCTGTCTGTGCCTTGCTGCCACGGCTCTCCACAGGGCCTGCTCCCTGCGAGCTGAACAGCTCGGAAATCTGCTCTGTTCTCCTGCCCCAGATTTCTTCTCATCTCTAAAAGGATGCAGCTGTCCAGTAATTTTTCATRGGCATTATTTTTATTTCTTCTATTGTTCAAACCACTTCCTCAACTTCCACAAAAAAAATTATTTGTGCTCTGGTTTCCAGCCATTTCCATTCGCCAAAGGAGCTTTTGCTATGGTTCACAGTAGGTTAACACGACCTCTCGGGCTTGGTTTGTATCCCAAATCYGTTCCCAGTGGGCACATCACCACGCTCTCCCCAAGTGGTAACAGAACTCGCCATTAGCTTAATGTTTACGAGTATTTCATAAGCGTCAGAGGGACTTCTAATTTTTTTAGTTTTCCGTCTTCCTCAAAAAATAACACCAAAGCATGGTGCACTTACAGGTGGACAACACAATTTATTCTACTGAAAATTTATCTCACCTTTATAATGTAGTGCAAGCATGTATTATGTATGTATTGCAAGCACRGTTTAGATTAACAGAACTGTTTGAAATTTCTGGATATCTAAACACCTTCACAGATGAGACAACATTGATAAGATTTTTATTTCCTCCCAAAGTAAAACTACAGAGAAGTAATCAGTGCATTTCAGAATCTATGTAGAATTCCTTTGAACCTGCTTGGTCATTTTKAGCACAGCAAATACAGCCTATTTCTGCAGACAGTTTTATAAATTATATCTAAAAGAGCAATTCATTGGTGCTACTATGTCAACAGTAAGAATCCAGCTAATCTCCTCATGTTATCGCCTCCACTGACAACACCTGAAGAAGTACAGCTCCTTYCAAGAACAAAGCAAGGGTCAGTATATACTTTATTCAAATAATTAGGTTTAAAAATAAATAAAAATAGCACAGAAGTCTAATATGTTAGTGCAATATCCTGTTAAATGAYTGCAAATTCTACCGAAGATCTGTTTTAAATTGATTCTGGAGCTGATTTTCTCATTATTCAAGGCTTGAGATGATAAAAAAAATTTTGCTACCTACAGAACAAAGCAGCAGTCAAAAAGCCAAGACACTCTGTTGTAACATGTTACTCTAAAAAGTGCTGTAATTAAATTCCTGAGGTTTTTGTTTTTTTAAATAACAAATGTTAGGAAATAACTGAATGTTCAGCTCCCGATGCTTCGTTGCACTTCAGGTACAACTGGGACACAACTGGGACAGCTGTTACTCGTTTTCTTCTTCAGAAGACTAGAAACTCCATAGGGAAACACTGGACATGTCAGCTCTAGATAGGCTGGAACAGAATTTTCTTGGCTTCTTGGATGTATTATCTGTGTTCCTCATCTCAGCTATTTTTCCCTGAGAACACTGTAGTGCTATTTTATCAGTGTTGCAATACTCAGTTACAGTTTTGTAAGCAAAGTAGGCCATAAAACAGCAAGACTTAAAAGATTACTTGGAAATGGTGCTTTACGATGTGCAACAAATTATGATCCCAAATGGAATAAAAAMCGAAGGCAATTAAATACCATAGTTCATATCTGAATGCTGCTAAAAAGTGCCCTACAGCTGTATATCTGATTTTTATATAAAAGTGACCCTAATTGCTGGTAACATCAGCTTGAAATGGAAGGTTTTAGGGATTCATTGGTAGATGTTTGTGGTGATGGAACCATGGATGGAACCACATCCCCCCAACCACTGGCACATTCCCCCAAGTGCCAGTTGTAGCTAGAATAGCTACTGCCGTGTTCATGCAGGGGATGCCTTTCTCCTACATCAATCTAAAGGCATCCAGATGGCACATTGTATGTGAAAAACTCACAGGGAATACTATTATTAGTTTGATACATACAGATATATGCCTGCAGTCTTGGGTTGCCAGTCAATACATCCTGGGTATTACTAGGATTCCTGAAAACACTAACTTTCTTTTTGTTTTCCATTTGTTCTCTTCGTGAGACTGAAACATCCTATGCTACATAAGGCCCCTTTCCTCCTCTACACCTGAGTTGAGTTTCCATTTTGTTGGAAACTCAAAAAAAGAAATATACTCCTATGTAATGATCTACTGAGCAAGATAATACAACATGCTGGAAGTCTTGGGGGTGAACAGTAACACGCAATATCCTGCCAGGTAACACAAACGTGGAGATAACCATCCAAACTCCCATGCGGGCAAAAGGAGGTGAGAGACACCATGGAATCAAGAGGCCTCTCTGTTCTGAAAACCGACCAGCTCCACCTTGCTGCAAGAGTCCCGAGGGGCCCAGCAAGAGTCCTGATGGATGTATTTGGAATCCTAGGGAAAGGTCCACATTCCCAACTGCATGGGATATTTCTTTATATAGAGCTATTCAAGTCAGCAAGCGGGGGGAGGACCTAAGTCCTTATGTTTAAATATACAGACAAGAACACTTTATAAAGTAAGAGTTTCTAATTTGGGAAAGGAGGGAAGAATCCCTTCTTTTCTTCACAAAGAAAAAAGAATGGAAGTGTTCCGCCTTATGTGATACAGAACAGACTTTTGGCATGGAAAATTAACACCAGTTTGAAGAATTATTTAAGGCAGAAGCTGGCAAAATGTCAACAAGTGCTGAAGAATACAAGTCGTGCTGTGACATTTTACTAGGGACTAGTCACAGAGAAGAGAGATTACAGATAACTTGCATAAAAGGCTGATTGATAGAAAGGTTGAGATAAAAGAAAATCCTGAGACATTTATCTTATTTTACAGTCTGACATGGYACTCACTCTGGGTGCATGGCAAGGAGTAGATACTGCATATTTCACAGGCACAGAGATTAAGAGTCAAAACAATTACAAGAATAACAGCAATCAAATATGACTGAGGTAACTGTCACAGCTAAACATAACAGCAGTGTCACTCGATGACAAATGCCAAAGTTTACCAGGATACTTTCCTACCAATTATGCAGGAAAGTCAAATTAAGCTGCAAAAATSCAAAATCTACAGATATAAAATGCAAGTACCAAATATGAGGTTGGAGAAGAAACACATAGTGGAAAGTGGTGAAAATCTTGAGAGGGAAGGAAACGTGATAAAGTATCAAGCAGGGGAAATTCTGGGGTGTAGCAAATTCTAGATATTACTCTATTTGCCACAGACTTTTCTAAAGGAAAGAAACAGGAAGTCATCTGCGCAGCTGGACACAGTTACACTGCAGAACTATGATTTTAAGGAAGTTATATAACTTCCATTGCTTGTGACTTTTACTGCTTCAAAAAGAAAAGTATACCCAGTATCTCGACGAACTTAGAAATAATGCCAGCGAATGAAGCTTTATGTAGGAATTTGTTCTATAACAGTTTATGATCAATGAAGTAAAACACAGTAGAATTTTTTTTTAAATGACTGTATTCAAATATTCATGGCACTAAAGAAATAAATGACACTTATAGACTGGGTAATATTTTTAAACTGTAGTGATCTACACAGGCACAAGAACATACCTGATACAAACAGGCTGCTGTTCCAAGAAAAAATGCAATAACATAACTGAAGTCTTCACCTTCGTTCTGTAAAAGTAAAATCAAATTACAACATTTTACAATGTTTCAACAAAAGAATATGCTAGTTTTTTTAAGTATGGAAGTTATTCATTACTGAAATTTAAAGTAGTCTTGCATAARGATTTACAATAATTGATATACTAAACTAAACCACTGGAATTGGCAGTAGTCATTGATCTCTCTGCAACAAAATCCACACGATCTTGAATCTGACCAAAATGTGTTTTCACCACAACAGGTTACTAATATTGAGATTTTCAAAAGTCTGAAAGTAAGCCCGTGTAACACTGGGAACTACCTTTAGTATCAGCTTTACAGAACTGTGCTTTCATGCAGCTTCACAAAATGGAAACTAGGTAAAAAAGACAAACCATAACCACTAGGGTGTGCTAACAGACTATGCAGAAACACTGCCGGTAGGTCTGCATTAACGGCAATGAGGACAAAGAAAAGCACAAAAATACCAGAAATTATTCCTCAAAAAAATGATCTKGGGAGAAATTAAGTTCTCATAAAGCTTAAAAAAAAAAAACAACCTGACAGCTCTTTCCATTCTTTTTTTTTTTTTAAGCACAGACCCCTTCTTACTTACTCAAATGGGTTCTTGCAGATTCTATAGAGCTGAAAAGAATATATCTACACGCTCCATGATTATTCTCTCTGCATTCCAAACAAACATCTGGTATGATCAAACACTTCCCAGGGAAACAAAGGGTATTCATGCAAATGTTCTTTCTTGAAGGAAAAATTCATTTTGCAAAGGAACTGGGCCACGTGGAACCACAACTTATTTCTGCTAGCATTATGTTCAGTGCATCTGCATTTACAGCTTGCATCGGTGCAAAATTCATGTGTCTGCACTACCATTTACCTCCTCCGTGCAGTACAGTCCTCGGGCCTATGAAAGTCTTGCGTGGCCACTGTAGCTTTGCTGAAGTACAGCTACAGGTCATAACAGAGTTGGGCTACTATCTAAATAAAGTACAAAGGATAAAGGGAAAATTGCTAAATTCAGAGAGAAGCTTAGTCATGAGTGTTCAGAAAAGGTTCCTTAAATTATATGTTGGGTGATTTCTGCCTTAACTTAGGAATTTTCCATTAGAAAGGAAATTAAAAGACATTTTGATGTACTTTTGGAGTTGTTTGTCAAAAATGAAAAAATACTATCTTCCATCTTTACTGCAGTCTATTACCTTCAGATGCAACAGCATACAGAATAAAATGAACTGGCTGCCCTATCATCGGTTAAATAGGTTAATCCAATATTTGCATATCTTTCTGCAGCTGTGATTAAAACAAAACATAGAAAAAACAAAAGGAAACTCTAGAAACACTGCAATTAAAGTTGTAAAGTTCTGTTCATTGTTTTTATATAGCACCACACTTCAAATTCATTCATTTTTATAAATTAAAAGGCACAGTAACAAGGAATTTATAAAATATTGTACATACTCATAAAAGAAATACAGAGAACGAGCACTGTCTCTTCTATAAAAAGCTGTGTAAATATACAAAATATACAAAAACATAAATATACAAAAAAGAGGCATACTTACTATTTCATTCTTGGTTTTGCTTTATTAACCCTGCTCTGCTATTCATTAGTCTGCAGGAATTGTTCAGACCTTAAACATCCCTGTTTTATTAACCCTGTACATTTACCAATAACTAAACAAGACATAACAGATGATCATTTTTCCGTTACTGCTCTGAAACATCATTTTCACATCAAAAGCTCCAGAGCAGTTATTGCAGTTATAATATCTGGACAAACAGGAAAATTCCGCTTTCCTTTCTGAAGTTTTCCATGAGATTTTTAGTTTTTATCTCTATCACAACAGTAGAATCATGTTTAATATTAAGTAAATCTCTTTTTGTAGGAGAGGCACTGGCTTTCTGTGCACAGTGGTAACTCACAACATATTCACCTGAACTGCCAGAAGTCATTAATCACCATTCTGTTAATCACTGCAGTGAGAAAATAACTAGCAGAAGAAATCTGCTGAAAGGCTGTGAAGCAGAAATATCTTTTATAAGAAATCACTAGATAGTTTCTCTTAAATATAATTCACATTGATGTTTTCAGCATAAATAGAGAAATGATCATCTTATTTAAGAAACTTTATTACAAACTGAAAAAAAAAAAAAAACCCAAAAAGCCTTTCCAAAAAAAAAAGGACTTCCGAAAAGCTCTTTCAAGGCCCTTTTCTGTGGACATTTCCATAAAGTTCCTCAGATTTTCAAAGTGGTTCTTAATTTCTCCTACATGTTTCTAGGTAACAGCTATGTTAGCATTTCATATCATGATATAAATTTAGAAAATAAGATACTACATCCACATACTCACTGCTACCAAGACACCCATGGAGTGAGCCACCCACCTCATCCTGCTTTCAAAGCCCACAACCTCAGTGAAGGACAATCAATTAAGACTACAAAAATAAAGGGAGAACCTCACAAACAATATTTGTAAAAACTGGAAAGAATTAGTTCATATTTTAAGAAACTTCTGTGGTGACATTATGATTGATATGATGCCTAACTCTTAAATTCATAAACTTGGTACAATACCTGTAGAAGACTTTCAATGGCGTGAAAGCCACGAATTAAATTCAGAGCCCCACACAACAGACTAAGTACAAATGAGACAATCCCTGGCAGAGTTACAGGATCCAGGCGCTGATGAGGAGCTGTAAAGCACAAGGTCAAGAATAGACAGGATGGGTCAGAACAGTGTCTTTTAAAAGATTTCATAAAAGAGTAGCYTCAATTTTCGGTATCTTGTGGCTCAAGAAGAGATCACTGAACATTAATCTTTAACAAAACGTATAATTTTCTTCAATTAAAATACAGTGCTGTCTCGTATCTAGTCTTCAACTTGATACAACCGGTTTATTCTGCATGGTACTGCTCAAACATGCCAAGAAYTGCAAAAGGAATGACAAAGAATGCACTTGTGAGTAAAACTGGCCCACAACTATTAGCCAACTAGTAAGTCACATACTTAAGAAATCCTCTTGCAACATCCAATTTCAACACCGATGCTTTGGCAGAGCTATCCAGCCTGCTGCAGCTGGTCTGCTGAGCAGAACATTGTAAGGCAAAGCCTATTACGTGTCCCTGCCACAAAGCATCCAGCCACTGAGTGCTACCAAAGATACAAAAAAAAAAAAAAAAAAAAAAAAAAAAAAAAAAAAGCAAAAAAGCTCTGAAGCTACAGCTACAGCTACTATCTGTACTGCAACAGTACACAGATTTTTCCAATATTTTTAGAATTTTTTTACATATCAAAACAAAACTCCCTTTCCATGCACACTCACTCTTCCAGGCTTATCTAGGGTCACAAACACATCACAGTTGTGCATGTGCCTCATTTATGGCCCTTTCTACAACGAGTAACGGAAAGCAAATATGAAAAAAAACCCACAATTCCAAATTCATAATAGTCTAGGCAACACTGAGGAAACAATAGGACTAGTGAACCATATTTATATCATTCTGTTCAACTCAACGGAGTGTAATGATGTGAACAATGAGGTTAATGAACTGTAACATTAATATGGAGAGGGGTGTCAATCTCAGTTGTTTGCACTGAATAGATTTAGGAGAAAGGCTTTCCAAGGCATTTATAAAGTTATGGAAACTAAACAAAAAAATGACAATAGCTACTTCTCATTGATAAGCACACAAGGGCTATGTGATAGCTTCAACAGAGAACACAAAATGAGTTCAACTGACTGATTTGTGCTGGATTTAATAATGAAACCTATCATTTCCAGAGCTTCTTACTGGGCACACTAGAAGAATACTACTAGCAACCACTTAGTTAAGGTTTGATATGAAGTTGCAGCCCAAATCATTATTTTTCAGTGACTTGTACTGTTTTCCACCAATCCCATCCAGAGTTGCTAAAGTTTTATGTGACCTTTTCTCTCCAAAAATCACTTTATTTTATTTGCTAACAAACAAAATTAATTCACTAGTGACTATTTAGGGAGAGCTCTCCAGGTTGTCTTGCTTTTTTCCTCCTAATGCAGAGWTAACTTTAAAACACTATGTGTTCAAACTGTTCTTAAAACAGCTCTTTGAGARTCATGGGAATAAAAATAAAACAATCTTGCCAGCTAGATCAAGCCAGCCCATGAACTCAAAACTCCCTAACACAAGCCAAGGAATAAAGACAGCACAAGTTCTGGATCAGATGTTGGATTTTAAATAGCAATTTAGGACATTTACATGATGCGAGAAACTGCAATGACAGTCATTAAAAATAAATAAATCAAGCATGCTATTAGCCAAGAGGTAAATTTGATTTGAAAACTGAACCATCCTTGAGAAAAATCCTAAATAGTAAATTCATTCTAACCAAATAAATACCAAAAATATCACACTTTGGCCATCATATTTCTCATGTTTGCCAATGCCTACATTCACCTAAATGAATACAGCCATAGTAAAATCCTATCCTATAATGTGCCAACTGAATGCTTCACACATTAAACATTAGCCCTATTACAGAACAACGTGCTCTATAGAGAAAGGACATTTTCACTATTACACACTGTGCATACATCCAATACCTGTATCTTCATAAGTAACAGCTTCAGCATAGTCAAAATTAACGCATCAAATTCTGCTAACCTATCTTGYAGCAAAGCAAGACTCGTGCCTTCCTAACTTCCTGTTTCTGCATCATAGCTGATCTGATTTAGCATATCATCAAGTCATGAGAGCTCTACCCATAAGAACATCACAGGCAAAAGGCTTTTTGTAAAAMGAGAAGCTCTCTTAAAAAAAACAAGTCTACTGACCTACATCATTTAAGGACACAGTAACTAAAGTCTGACACTTACCAGCAGCAATCTTACCAGTACCCTTATAATCTACAGCAGACAAGTGTGCAAATCCGTTAGCAGAACTGAGCTCCGACACCGACAGTTGGTAAGGTGGCCTCAGTTTGATTTCTGTCTGCATGTCAGCAAGATTCATCTTCGTGGACAAAGAGCGCGTGTTGTTGTATCTCTGTTTGGTCCTCTGAATGAAATTATCTGGGTAAATTTTAAAATGAAAAGGTATATCCTTATAGGCTTCTGTCAATTAAATAATCCAAGAACATGCAAGTTCACGGGCATTACACTTCACAAATCATAAATTTAAATACATTGCTTGAGCTGCTTGCATTTATCTTGGAACAGTCTAATACTATTTCTGCTTGATGACTACTATATTATGGGTTATTTCATTCTGCAGTAAAAATAAAAAGCTCTAGAAACCTGGTTTCTTAATAACTGTGAATAAACTAATGGCTTTTCACTGCATGAGACTGAAAGCATTGCTASTTTAACAGATTTATTGCATTTATTCTGGCTTTTCTATTAAATATTCTTATGAAAAAATAACTTCTACATTCAAGTATAAACTCACTCGAGTACAAAATGTTCCTGCAAAATATTCAGTCTGAGAAASTTAATACCATAATATACAGATATAAACATTTTAATAAACCTACATTTTAACAACTGATAAAACACAGAGCGTAGAAAAAAGTGGATTCATAGAGAAGACATCAAAAATGGAGTAAATTAATTACAGACAGAATTTAAACAARAAGGGGGTTTCTATTCTCAAACAACATATTTCTAAACAACATATTTCTAAAACAAGATTTTTTTCTGCTATAATGCAGTTTAATAGTGATAAAGCAACTGCATAAGGTGTAGTTTTAAAGTGACAGATATTAACAGAACCCTTAACAGCTGTGACAGATATTAACAGAATCTGTAACAGTTGCTATCTATTATTTGGAGCTTGCACCACAGAAGCTTACATAAACACATATCTATTTTATAACACAAATGAAAAGCTTCACCCTAAATAAAAGCTAGTATGCTTAAAATCAAACATGAAATTCTGATTTTTTACTTTGGAAATTTATAAAGTTCAAAGCCTTTACAGGCTAGGTCACTCCAGAGGTATGAAGCCAAACACGTCGTAAGTATTACTAATTAGGAGACAGTAAACTGCACATTTAGTCACACAATACTTAAACTGAAACCTACTTAAATGAACAGAAAGACTATAAACAACCTTTGGGTCAAGCTCAGGTAGCCTGACTTACCTCCCACTGAAGTATTTTCTTCTGTTGACTCTACTGAGCTAAACTAGATTCTAAATCCACCTGAAATACAGCTACAACTTCTCTAATATTTTTGTCTTGTGAGGATTAGGTTACACATCTAGTTAAATACTGGTCTGACTAGAGTAAGAGTGGGAATCATGTCTGTAAGAAATGAAAAAAAGGGTAAACTCTGATCCTTACCAAACTCTATAAAACAGTACGGTCTGATAGCAGTGTTTGTCTTCATCATATTGTAGGTAGTAATGAACTCCTTCTGAAGCTCATCCAGGAAGCAGAAAGCCAGGACATTGGGATAATTTTCAGTGCACAGCATTATATAGCTCACTCCCAGAGAACTGATAAAGCTGTAATTGAGACGACAAATTCAAACTTCAAAATTAAATCCATGTAATTCACAGCTTCACAAGTCGAATTTCATATTATATAATCAGAGTAGAAATGCCTTTGCTACCCCAGAGCAGGTTTAAGGTTTATTGAAAATTCAAACACTGTTCTAGAAGCAAACAATTTACCTTTAGGTAACGCTTTACTTTAACACAGTACTGTACCATCAAACAAGCAACTAAGCTATACCCATCTATGAGTTACAACTGAGTAACATGGAAACAGATCAGAAAGCAAGACAAAGCCCTTGGGATACAGAAGTTGGCTGTGTCCCAGGACAGCATTTCAGTAATCTCAGATGCAGAACATGGCATCTGGTACATCCCCAAAAGACAAAAAAAAAATCTGCAGAATGGTTGCAGGGGCAACAGAGCACAGCTGGCTGCTTTGAAACATGTGCAGGAATGAAACTGCTCCCCAGACCGAAAGATTCTTCATTCTCTGGAGAAAGATGTAAAGATGACCAGAGACTGCAGACAGGGAAAGAAAGGAGGGTTTTTAATGTACATATACCTAGTGCTTTTGGGCAATTCATTAAAATGTAGTTCACTTTTTCATGACAAATTTCTTCAAAATCTTTATATCTATGTATCTAACTTACTATTTAAAAAAAAAAAAAACTTTTAAGGAATAAGATGTTAAGTCTTACACCTCGTTCTTAAAAGTTTCTTTCAAAACTGATTAATTTATAAGCCAACAGCAACTGTTTTCTGAAAAATTAACCCGTGACTTTATTCAACAACAGTTTCACATTTTATGGATAACTAAAGCAATGAGCCAACACAAACGCATTAGAGAAAATATTTACTTTTTGTTCGCCATTCACACAAACAGAAACTCTGTTTGCTTTTTGTAACTAAGATGTAAAATACTGTAGAGCTGCAATCCACAGCAGTATAGACATCAGATGCTAAGAATATGCTTTGTGGCATCCCTACTCTTGCTTAAAAGAATGGTAATATATGATGATTAAGGAAAAAAAATGAGAAAGATAAGTAGGAACTTATTTTTTTAAATAAACTAGCTGTTTGGTCTTATAAAACTCAGCTCACACGTTAAACTAACTTATTAAATAATTACTAAATGGCAATAAACGTTATCATTCAACAACCAGTAAAACACGCTGCTACTTTGTTTTATAGCAAGTGCTCCATGACTGGTAAGAAAGAACATAGAAAAAAATCTCTACCACACAAACGTCACCGTTTCATTTCTGGGATGTAAATGAAATTAAAACTTACTAAAGCAATGGAAAGAATGTGCAAGATTTTTTTATTATTTGTCAAATGCACTTTGGAACAGCTTTTCCTAAAATGCTGTTGCAGCTTTGTTAACCCCTCTGAAACTCTGAATCAACTGGAAAAATGTAGCCCATTCTGGGACTAATCCTGAGAGATGCTGGAAAATCACGGCTACCCAGAGCACAAGGAGAAGCATGAGCACTTTTTTTAGGGACCCCACTGCTGCAAGTGCTTGCTTAATGTCAATATGTCTGTTAGGGGTTAGGATGAAATCATTTGACTCATTTAAAATGGCCTATCTAAATTGGGATTTCAGCTCAGCTAAAGTGCAACTGAATTATCAGCTACASACAGATGCATCTAATTACCAATACTAAGAAAAAAAGGTCACACACAGAGCAAAACTCTGAGCGAATACTAGATTCAAATAATTATTTCATGATAATCCAAGTTTCACATTGCAAATAGGGAAAATATTTTCTGAGTTATTAAGTGTTGACATGTCAAAATGACTAGGTTCAAAATTTGAGGAATTGTTATTAGAGAAAAATAGTATAAAGAAAACATAAACAGTGTTGCTGTGAAAGAGCTGGATGGAGTATCAGGACAGAGAGACTCCTTATAGCTTTATTATGTATTCCCTCCATACTCCAAAAAAAATGCTTCTCACTTTTCCTACTCCCTCATCCCCCATGTGCAATAATATTTATCTCCTGCCTGATAAAGACAGTATATATTCATCTAATGTCCACAAGAGACTCCAAAACATTTAAAAATGCAACCAAAAACAAACAAAAATTCCATACAAACGGACTAAGGGTTCTGCAATACTTCATAAACCAGTTAAGGTGTGCCATATTTGAAAAACACTTGAAGATGTTATGGACAGGTGAGGAAACAGGATTTTAATAGTTCAAATGTCTTGTTCCAACACTAAAGGAACAACTGTAGCAAGATTCTGTTAATGCATGAGATCAATGAAAGGCAATTTAACATCTCAGTTTTATTGTTCAGACAAAGAAATAGATTAAGAGTGAAAAACCAAGTTTCTAACAATCAATAATTTTTAATAAATTAAATATGCTTTACACAGTAGAGATTTATTTTGTTTGAGACTAAAGTCTCAGATGTGATAAAGAATCRTGATGCATTTTACCAAGTACTACATATATTTAGACTGCAGGACCTGCCAGTCAGTATAAGGTCTCCATCAACACAAGCAACATAAAAACAGGTACGAAGACACAGGAAGAAAGATTTACTATCTTGTGCCTCTACTGACATCACGGCCTGGAATAAGTGTTCAGTTATGCTCATTTCTTAAGGTATGTTGCTTTCTCTGAAGTCAATGGAGATTCTAATGTACAATTAATATTGGTTGAAATTACACGATAAATGATTAAGAGTGTGGTGAATTTCATGCAAGAAACGACCTTGAAATGAGCAGAAATCTTTCTCGTAAGTCAACAACTTCAATATTCATAAAAAATATTGGCAATTTAAATGATAATTTCCATTGAAGTGTGGCAGGTTTCAAATATTTTTAGAATATATCATGTTGAAATTTTTGATATACAAGAAGGTTCTTAATTTGATCAGCTATCACTGAACGTGCAACCATCAATGTTTTAAATTACAGACAAGCTCAACCCAGCAACATTACAAATATATACAAGAGAGGTCTTACTTTATGTTATACTGTCCAGCTTTCAGAGTACATCTATCAGGAAGTTGAGAAAGTTTCTTTGAGAGCATTTTAAAATATTTCCTACATTCTTGCACTCCTGAACTTTGTTCATAATCGGTAGATGCAGACAGTGGGAGTCCATCCCTCACACGGACCACAGAGGCAGATAAAATCATAGACATTGCCAACAGTTAACAACGACCTAAAACAAAACAGAAAATAGACTGAGAAATACAGAAGAATCAAAATTAAGGTAGAAATAAAAGGAAAAGAGACAACTGTGATAAAATAAAGTTCTTAAGCTGTAAATGGGGCTCAATCTTAACATAAGGCACAAGGATGAATTATCAACTGGAACTCAGATTAGAGTTCTAACTGAACAGGACCTAGTAGGCTACACAAATCACAATGCGGCAGGAAATCTAACATTGTGTTTTCAAATATTTTTATCRGAATTACCCTAATTCCTCACCTAGAGGCATCAGGGGAGACCAAAACTCTATTACTTAGCCTGAGCACTGCAGCAGCACTTACATCTGGAAGATGAAAGCCTTGCATTTACAGCAAGACAGGAATTATAGTCTAAATAAACAAGAATAATGGCTGGAGAGGTACAATGTGTATGACAAAAATATGGCAGAGAAAGAACTCATCCTGCTCTTGATCAATCAATACTGTTAATGCACTTTCATGTTATTAAGTGCATGCTGAAGCACCTTGACAAATAGAGACTTAYGAAACTTAAATACAATCCAACAAGAAACGAAGAAATCAAGACAGCAAGGAACATTACCCAGTTCTCCCAAATCACAACATGTTCTTACATGTGAAATGTCTTCTTTTTTATTTCCTTGGTCTCCTTTTTATTGTTATTATTAATCTGCAAAATGTATTTTCTCAAAATAGCACCGTCTCTTCACAAGATAAAAAAGTCACTTTTTTCCTAAACTCCTGTCTACTCTACTGCCCCATGTGCACAAAGGTGTTACCTGAGGAACCTCTGAATAACAATCAATATTCATGTTTCTCAAGTGTATTTACTCCTCAGAGAGCAAGGTGTGTAGTAATAGAAACACTGAAAATCTGCTGTGATTTTCAAGCTAAATTTCTTAACTTTCAGATGCATCATGTTGACTTAGCAATATGAGTTCCAAATTAATACCCTTGTAACTTCAACAGTATATCAACTTGTAAAAGCAGCCATTGAGTCCCTCTGAACCCTTACCAGGTAGGCTGCTTAATTCAGCATCTCATCACACAGCTGATATTTGTAAAAAAGRTACAAAAAGCTTGTAAAGGTACTTGTAACAAATGTACAAAATGTACTCTGATCAGAGTTGTCTACAAAAGCAGGGAGCAAAGCAACTTCAGGATTTCCTCTGGGTTAGTTTGCTAGAGTTAAACATTCTAGAAATTGAACCTACAGCTCCGGCAACTTTTAGGTAACTATTAGGTTTATGCAAGTGCTCCCAGCAGGACAATTCACATAAAATACACACTATACAGAGGGCAACCACTACCTTAACTGTGCTGCCAACCACATAACCATGGCAGTGGCTCACACACACGACAGTTGCAGAAGATGTCCTGCTTCTCAGCCACCAGCTGCTTTCACCACTTACAACATAACTCTGAAAGGACTTCCGAGCACTACATCAGTATAAACAAGAACAACRACGTGGTAGCAAAAGTTTGTAATTCCCCTCATTAACTTACTTGCACAAAACGGAATTTCACAGATCTGCATTTCCTCAGGTAAAATAAGTAACTTCATTAGCACCTACAGGGAAGAAAGGTCCCACAGCTCCATGTCCTGTCTTAGGAAAAGGTAGCAGGTGGGACAGCAAGGCCRGGGGAACTCTGAATCTTGTAGCTAATTCTCAGCAGAAAAATACTGGTGTCTTCTTTGTATGTGATTTTGATTGTTGAAATTCTTGTTGCACTTTCTGATGAAAGAAGAATTAATACATTAATAAATTTATTTTGTGGCTAACTGTATTACTCAATTCCTTTTGTGAGGCCATGCTTACCAGTAACAGTTTAATAAATCTCCAAAATGAAAATGTAGCTTTGCTTGGACCTCTAAATAATCAGACTGCACAGAAAACACCGACACTTTGATACAGACATATGTACACACAGAATGAAAAAAGAGCAATTAAGGATATAAAGGTTTTTTAACTATTAAAAAAAAGCCTTTTTAAGCCATATAATCTAGACTGCACTGCTTAACTCWCTGTGCCACTACAATTAAATCATTTTTCTTCCATCATTGCAATTAGGTAAGTGCACAGGTAGCAAGTGCACAGCTGACTTCTCAAACCACCTTGTTAGCCAGTGGGACTCCATGCCACAGGATGAGGCAGATGCTGAAAGYTCATGTGGATTCAAAGGGCACCTGGATGAGTTCACACAACAGCCAGAAGGGTTGTTATATCTGGAACACTGCTCCTTCCTCAGGAAGACTCTGACCCACTGAAACACTTAAAGTACTCCATGGAAATAAGGCTCTGTGCTGGTCTTACACATCTCTGTGTGTATCTGCTTCTGTCTCGTCTTTACTGATTTCCCCTTTACACCAGAATTTTGCAGAGTCTCTGAAAATTCAGACAAAAAGCTCAACAAAAGAGAAATACGGAGAAGGCAGTCCACAGGCAGGAAAAAGTGAGCCAACAGCCACTTCTGTGTTATCCCATTTTCCCTTTATCTGTCAGAAATCATACATACTCTGCTGTTCCCACAAACAGGAACAGTAATAGGTAACATGTAGCTTCAGCATCACCTCTTCCCTTTAGAAGGACAGCTGGGATGATGTGCACATCAGAGCCTGGGACCGGTTTTGTTATTGTCTTTGTTTTTCCGGAAGATAGATCCAGGTACCTGGATTATTACTGTGTGTTACGGACAACACTCGGCCACGAGGCAGCATYAAGACAAGTCCCAGAAAGCAGTCTACATTTCAGCCCTCCTCTGCAACRAACTGGCCTTTCAGTTTGATACATGACAACACGTATTTACACTTATCTGCCTTTTAACAACTCTCTAAAAGAAAACATCCAGAGGCGGCCTGTGAAAAAGGCCTGCTCGGGTCACCCGGCTCCAGGCCRAGGCCAACACAGACCGGGCCCAGCCAGACCAGGCCCAACCAGACACGGCTCCTCACGCCGGACCCTCTTCCTTTCCCGCAGGTCCCAACAGCTGCGCTGGGCGGGGATGGAGCTATCCCGGCCTCTCTCCCCACACAACACTCCTCAGGCACCCATCCCGCCAGCGAAAACCCCGGGCACGGATGGGGCGACACGAAACCCACCGCCCTGACGCCGTCAGGTGGAGCCGCGCGGGGACGCGGCCCACGGRCCGCACAACCTTCTCGGGGGGACGGGGCAGACCCGGGCGCTGGACAGCGGCTCCCGGCGCGCTCCCGAGGGAGCTGCCGCCGCGGGGGCACCGGCCGCCCCGACCGCGGGGCCCCCCGTGACCGCAGCGGCCGCGCGGCGGATCCCGCCCGCCTCAGCCTTACCGGCCGCCCCCTCCTCACCTCCCCCCGCCCGCRTGGACCGGGGGCGGGGCTCGTCGCTAGGCAACGGCACCGAGCGGGCGGGGGGAAGGGGGGCAGCTACCTGCTCAGCGCAGCGGCGACCCCGGCGCGCGCGGCCCCCGCCGCCTCCCGCCGGGCATTGTGGGTACCCTCCACGTCCGCCCCGCGGCCGCCACGTGACGCCGAGGCGGCCCCGCCATTGCCCGGCGCGCGGGGCGGGGCCGGTCGCCATGGCGACGCGCGAGGCCCCGTTAACCGCCGTTCCCTCAGGAGACGTTGCCCGTTACGGCGCCGCGGGGCAACGGTCTCCAGCGGGGCGGCGGCGGGTGGGCGCGGGCGCCGCAGCAGGGGCTTAGCGCTGTGTAAATATACACCTCATAAAAAAATAAAGTAAATATTAATGCTGTGGGTTTGCGTGTGTGTTTTTTTTCCACCGAGGCCACCCGAGGCGTGGAGGCGGCGCGGGAGGCAGCCCGGTGGTGAAGGTGTCACCAGAGGAAGGTGGCGCAGGTGCCACGTGGCGGCCGCAGAGGAACCCACTGCTTCGCTTGGAAAACAAATGTCAAAGACAACCCAAAGCCCACCAGTCTCCTCACTAATCCCACAGTTAACTGCCTGCTGGAAAATTCTCTTTTCACCACAAGAGGAACGTTCTCCCTGTACTGCTCTTTAACCGACTTTTACCTTACCATCCCACACGAGCCCAGTCCACCTGAAATCTTAAAGTGGCCATTTCCTCCCTGCACTTTACTTCCTGCTTTTCTCTCTGCTTCTGCTTAGCTCTGGGAGCGTGCTTAGCATTGCGAAGGACAGCAGTGTATGGRTGACAGGCAGCCTGCTCTGCGCTCTTGGGCCTCCAGAGCTGTGCTGAGCAGCAAGGGGACAGGGAAGGCTGCAGCAAAGTACACGAATGCTCCCCAAATTCAAGCTTCCCTCTGTAGCAGCACCAAGTRCTTCAGCTGGGCAGCTCGAGTGGGGCTCAGCCACCCTCCCTGGTCCTGAGGGCAGGAGCCRACGCAGATCAGGTGCCGCACAAATGCGCCCTGGAGAGGAGTCAGGCAACGTCACCTGCAGGCTTTGGAGGAGAGAATTTGGCTTTGAACATTAGAAGTAGCACAAAAAATACAGAAAAAAAAAATAAAATTTAAAAAGTTGTATGCTGGAGGCCACAGGAGAGCCTCTTCTCAACACATTCTCACCTGCCATGGTGAACATGAGTCATGGTGGGGARCTTGCAAAGTCCTAACTCCACTGACATTCAATCGAGCTCCTCAACRTTTCCAAACCAGAGTCTCAGCCGGTCACAGGGAAACTGTGCATGTCCCCTGTTGGGTTTTTGTAGAACTGAGCACCAAAACTTCCCCGTCCTGACTGCCTAGGTACCGCAATAAAGCGTGTTGCAAAGATAACATGCTAATCTAAATAATTTCCACAGAGTCCTTATCCTGTATAAACAGAGAGCACAGTATTACAAGCTGCTACACAATTTAATGGCATATGATAACATCTACTATAATGCTGAGAAGTAGTGATTGCTTAATTAGAGGCTGCCTAAAGGTTTCTTATAAGTGCGTGTGTGTGTCATTTTGATTTTTCTCCTCCCTGACTCTGAACTGTTTATCTTTGAACTTGAAAATTCTCTTGACCATTTGCAAATATTTTGAACGGAAAAAAGATAAGCATTTTGCATTTTTACAAGCGGAACTTCAGAAATTATAGACACATCTATTAATTAAGCCTTATATATTCTCAGGAAATAAAGGTAATATGTTCTATAATTGTATTAGGAAATTGGCCCCGAGAGATAAAATAAATTTCACAAGGTCACTGTTGGAGGTAGAGGCAGTCAGAAATGGAGTTACAGCTCCAGAGCTCCTGACTCCCTCATGGCACGCTTAAATCATACCCCTTATTCGAGAATTTGCATGGCTAACAAGCTAGTTACATTTAAAATATCTTTCTTCCTGTCCCATTGACTCCCCTAAGACAACGAAGCAGTAAAACATRGTTAGAGGGGCACCATGCACGGAATAAATTAGTGAAAGCTGCAGTGAGCGATAAAGCTGAGATTCCTAAGAACTAAATCCAGMCAGTGTAACAGCAAATAAGAGAAGAAATGTAGGTGTTTCTAAAGGAGGAGGAGAGATAAAGAGATCAAGAGGACTGCAAGGCTGCAGTGGACAACATCAAAGGTTAAGTGAGGAAGCTGAACTTTTAAGGACTGGTGCCAAATAAAGCCCTGTGGTGTCAAAACCCTTCAAGATGACAGCAAGGTGCTTATTCATGAGTGCACCAAAATATTGAAATACAACATGTGATAGCCATGCTCTTCAGTTTTGGAGTTACAGGAGAAACACAGAGGCAAAGGTCTGAAAGGATCCTTGAAAGGTCATGCAGAAAAACGTACCTCAATTTCTTTGTAGTAAATTAAACTGTTAAACACTCATTGGATGCGGAACATACCAGATCACTGATCCACTTTGCAGTCTATTTTTAATGTGGAAAACTACTACCATGCCCCTTAGTCTTCTTGGATTTAGACTAATTAAATCCAAATCTGCTAATTCTTTTCTAAAACTCATGTTTACTTAACATTTTTATAATCCCATTGCTCCTTTGTCTGGATTTTGTCTTTCTTTCTCTGTATCTTTCTTAAAGATTGGTGCCTGAAGCTGCAGGTATTATTCAAGACGAGGCATTAGCTGAAAACCAGACTAATCATGCCGTACTGTACTTCTTCTTTCTTGTGYAGTAATGCCAGTTCCCACAAAAACGCAAATATATTGAATTAGTTGCTGACAGTTCATGCTCAGTACAGCCACAATTTTACCACAAGGACTTAAAGACTTTGCATCAGGCCTTCTGGAATCAAGATATTGGCTATAAGAGCTAAAAATATACTAGTTGGAGCGAGAGATGAAAACTTTTAGGCAAGAATATTAAAACAGAAGTCGGGATTAATTCTAATCATTCTCTCATGGGAAAAAAAACTGAGCACAAATCAGGAAAGTTGACAGGGAATCTTTGCTCAGGGTTTGATGCTTGTGAGGACAGCATCAGCAGAAGTGTGGGCAAGGTCATAAAAAGCACTAGCAGAATATACAGTTTATTTCCTTGCTTATTTTTAAAGTGTTTCTTCACTAATACATTCTCAAGAGTCTCTACTGGGAAGAAGTTGTTCTTTTATGGAGCAATAATGCTTAATTCTGAAGGACATAAGAAGTCCAAAGACTTTATAATGTCACATGAARTAGATAATAAATGCAGATGTTAAAAAAGCACTTTAACAATGGCTTTTGTTGCATGCCCAGCATGATCCCTTGCACAAAGAACATCATATTTCTGAAAAGTGATCTTCAGGCAGCATCTCAATTAGCCTGCAAAGCAACATGTCGCTAATGCATTTTGTTTGTAGGGCCATCAACCCTTCTGGCAAYAAAACAAGTGAGCTTTTTGATGATCATGTCCCGAGCCATTCCAGTGCCAATGCTATCTCTTTGGAGCTTTTCTGCTTACTTTATACCTCCTTTGGTAGAAGAAACTAATCTGGAAAGCCACATTAATATACTCCTAGTACACATAATCCCTTTAGTTCCCTGCATGACTGTAATTGAACACATTGGCAGGCTTTGTTTGTATTTAAATATTTTCATAGAAGGGAAAGTCATTCCAAGATGATCACGTTATGAGGCCAAGAATTTCATTAGCAGCCATTTAAACAATTACAATAAATAAGAAAATGTTTATTTGTTAATAAAATTCTACCATGAATGCTTAATTTATGGTACAATTTCAAAGAAGTCTTGCTCTCTAAAGACATTTGCCTTTGTTTATGATAATATCCACAACAAACTCTTCTTGAGAGGAAAAAAAATGTATAGTTTTGTAATCCAGTTAAGATATTCTATCTGAAATTGAATTCAGAAGGATATAAGGGTTTCTTAGGATTGAAGGGATTATTAGCTACTGTAATATCTAATAAGATTATAATGGAATCAGATGGAGGAGGCAGCTCACTGTAATAGAAACTCAGATATAGGACTGTGCTAAGACACAGGTCTGGCAGGACCTCCTGGGTTATCATACCCAGTCCCCACTTACTGCGGGCCGCGGTATCACCTAATTCATTGCACAAATCACCTATGAGAGGTGGATTTTGTCCCTGTGTGTTCTGTGCTGTTGCTAGGGAAGTGCGTAAAAATAATCTAATTTTTGGCCTAAATTATTCATGGCCAGTTTATACTCGCATAATCTTATGCCCTTTAGTTTTAATATTTTTCATGCCCACATCGCAGTGGGGACAAACAGTGAGAGATCTTTCTACTTCTTTTTTCTTCTGGTTTGTTGGAGGATTTTTCCTGCTGTTTCCTATCATACTCTTCGTGAATTCACTCTTCAAGGGCATTCAGTTCTTGCTGTCTGCTTGCTGACCTTTCTCTGCGCTAATGATACCTCCAAACCTTGAGACTTCAACACATTTTAAATACCAAACACCTCTGTTTTCCATGTGGCTCTTTATTGAAAACACTAAATAATAATCAGTCCTAYGGCTGATTTTTAGGAAGGCTGGATAATTCACCTTCAACACAACTCAGCTTTGTGTCRACATCTGACGCCGTGTCCGCCTTGCAGTTCCTCTACAAGTGCCAGACTTCTACAAGCAGCAGTGCTTGGTTTTACACCTGACACCTCCCCAGCTCCTTTACTGCAGACCAGACATCCAGACTTTCCCTCTTTGTCTAGATAATTAATTACTGTATCAAAGGAGGCTATTGAGTTACTATGGTATTATTTAGTCTCAGTGCCAATG